TTTTCGAGTTTATCTTGAAATTTTGCAGCAAGGAGAATGTAAATGCTTAGCTTAGCTTCTAATATCAATATATTAATTAATTACTTGAGCCTGCTTCTTGCTTCAAATTCCAAGATACTTAAACTAAAATAATTTAATAATAATACTAATAATAAAAATATTAAAAATAAAAAGAATATAATACGAGGGGGAGAACAATGCATTGATTAAAGGACACAGAAGAAGCTCAGCAATGACAGTATCAGCTGGAGAAGCAGCAAGTAATGCACAAATAATTGGAGCTTTGAGCTCACTCATTCAATTGTATTTTTTTTTCTTCCTGGTACTGTCGGAAGCCGCGTGTGTGGAATCGGAACCGTGTGAATCTGCGAGCTGTGAGCTGCGAACTGTTAACTGTTCACTGCGATTGCTGGCGGGGTGGCTGTCAAAGCGCGAATGCCAAAAATGCAACGCCAGCGAAACGGAAATGTAGAAAAACAATAAAAACCACAGCAAAGAATGCTTTCCATACCTTTTAGCGAGCACATTGCCCCACTCACTTGGCCCCACTCTGTGTGTGCGAGGTGATTGCATGTGTATGTGGCGAGGTGCAAATATGTAGCAGCCGTTAAATATTTGCGCGTCGAGAGTAACGCCAACTGATTTCCAAATGTATAGCACAGAGCGAGAGAGAGAGGGAGAGGGAGAGGGGGAGAGAGAGAGATCCGCCACATAATTTGTGCCGACCAAAATCACTGCAATATTTTGTTGGGCATTCACCTGCATCAGCGGGCCATTTGAGTGCCATTCAAGTTTTCTTTTCATTTGCATTGTTGTTGCTGTTGAATGTTGTTTGCGGCTTGTGGGCTTACAAGTATTTTTAATTTTTCTTTTTTTTTTTGTGCCTTCTGTTATTTTTGTTGCTTTGTTGGTTGGTGTTGTTGTTGCTTGCCAGTCAGTTAGTCAGTTCGGCTGCGTCAATGAATTTTGTGGAAATTTCTGAGGGGCTGGGTTGAGATTGGGGTTCGGAGTGAGTACACTCCATACATAAACAAGTTAAATATATTAGCACATAATTAAAAAGTTTGTTTTGCTGCCTCTCAAGTTGGCGGTGGGGTTGGAATTTTTGTTATAGGTGTTGCTAATTAAGCCAGCGTCAGGGTTCTTCCGCCAAGAAACACACACGCCCATATGAGTGGCTGTAATTGGTATCATAATAAACTGTATACACTCATTCTCACACACACACACACACTCGCACACACATCACTTGCATAATTGAGACACAAGGTCTCAGCAGATGAAGCGACTCAAACGAGATGATTGTCGTCCTGATGACTGGAGAGCTTGGGGGTTGTTTTGCTAAATTCTCAAAGGTCTCATTTATGAATATGTCAGGTGTATTTTCGTACACATTTCGGCAGCCCATTGCTGATTACTATACTCGTTTTGTTTCATGTATTCATCTTTATTATTAATAAGTGTAATTTGTAAAGTTTTTACAAAAAAAAATATTCAAAAACAGCTGCTTATCAGCCTGCTTTAAGGATTACCTTAATTAAAGCAATGAAAAATCGGTTAATATGGCCCTAATACCAAATTTTAATTTAATTTCGCTAAGTGTAAATGTATATAAAAATCTAACATTTTATTAAATAATTCAGTCATTTTGGTTTATAAGCCCTTATACCCTTTTGAAATGTGTTACAGGATATATAAATGAATCTTACTGTATGACAACAAAGAACAAGCATGTTAGCATTTGGCTAGCCATTAATTCAGCGCAGTTCAACTCAGGCACACAGTCAGTCACTCATTCAATCAGTCAATGCGGTTGCCAAGGAACTCCTTGTTGCTCATATGAATAATGTTAATATGCGAGGCACGATAGAGACGGACGGGGCAAAGAGACCAAGCTGAAAGAGGGAAATATGCTTGAAATGGTTTCCTAGTCTCAATGAAGCTTTGCTGCTCGGCAGTATGTGTGGGAGTGTTTGTTTGAAATGTTATCAAACGACGCCAGTAACGGGTACAATTTTTTAATTTAGTAACCCCCATATACACACGCACATACTTATACTCACATCCAGTTAACGCATTTATGCGGGAGGGGGAGTAAAAAATGTTGCCGTTGCATACTTCAGGGCGCCGCCTGACTGCTAATTTGCTATGCAAAACATCTTCGGAATTCTTATAAGTACGCACAAATGAAATAATTAAAAGCTGCACCAGACAGAAATAAAGTAAAATCACAAGTCCGGAATATGGAGTACGGCGTATGGGGCATGTAGCGCAAAATATGTGCTCTGTGAACATTTTTCCTATCGAACTCTAATTAAGCTCCCTTTCTGGCTGCTGGCTGCTGGCTGCCAGCTAACTAACCTTTTGCGGTTATAGCCAGTTGGCTACCATTTTGGCTCTATTTCTACTTATTCCACTTTGTTCAGCTGTGGCTCATCCCTCGCCATGCTTGTGCTCCGCATTTTTATGGACTTTTAAAGTCGGGCGGTAGTTGAAGATATAAACGGGAACTGGTATCGTATGCCATATGCCATATGCCATATGCCATTGTCTGGCGCGCTGGTCGTCGCAGTCCTGCTGGTTGGTTTGCAGCTTAATTGGATGCCACAATGTGAAATAAATTGAGCAGAAAATTACGTAGCCCGCCAATCTAAACCACAGCTAGACGCTGCTCACCGTTCACGATATAATTTTACCTTTGCCAATTGTCCCCATTGTGTTGTAAAAAGAGGCAAGTAATTGCTATGGTACACCTTTCGATTTCTATGGAGGCATTCCATGATTCCAACTCTTCTCGATTTCTACGTTTCGCCATTTTAATTCATAAATTCATTCATTTAGCGTCTTGGAAGTAACTTTTTGATTGACATTTGATTATCACTGCGAATGTGAGAAGCTTCTAATCTCAATATATTCCTCAATATTTGTATAATCTCTCCAACATACCACATAAAGTACACAATTGAATAGAATAGTTAGTTTTTTAATTTCCATAATTATTTTATTAATTTATTTGTTTAATTAAATTGTAGATCTTTTTGGTTTTTTATTCGTTTTTTTACTATTGGTTTGAAATCTCTTGCTTGAAATCAAATTTTGCATTACACACGTTTATTTCAATTAAATACATAGAAATGTAACTGCACATATGCATTATGCATATGCAAAATTCAAATTCTTTGAGCTGATTTGACATTCTTTGCCTTTTTATACACATAGTTTTTGGTTGTTTCCTTTTTGTTTTGGTATACATCAATTACATATACTTTACGATCAGTTTTAAATATTATATGCATTTATTTTAAACTTTTAGAAAAAAAATGTGCTACTGGACATTTGCAAATGAACAGATCTCTAAAACTAATACCACTCTATAGTGGCTCGTATGCGGCGAATGTTGCTTTAATTATTTTAACTTTTTATTATTAGTTTTTCATTGACATCTTTTAAAAATTCGCTATACAGTTCCGGGTGTAGGTGTCTGTGTGTGTGTGTGTGTGTATATGTGTGTGTTAACTATTGAAACTTACATTTCTGTAGAGCCTGAATTCTATATAGCTGTGATGAATCTGACTGTAATGGGATTCATGAGCAATTGCTAAGCTGAACAGCTTTCCTCTGATAAGCTAGGTGTTTAGTAGATTAGAGTGAATTCTTTGCTAACATCATCATCATTATTTTCCACTTAGTCGTTATTCTGAAACTTTTAGCAAATACACTTTGCACATGCTGGAATTCACTTATTTGGTAACCATTTATAAACTATTAAAAAAAAGGTATTACACTTATTTATATTATAGTTTAAATTGTTGAGCTTTTGCACTCAAGTATGATATAATTGTGTTTATTGAGTATGTATACATTTATTTAATAGTATTTAGCTTACATTGCACAGATTTATACACATTTAAAGTACATACACGCATATCAAAGCACATGAAATGAACAGTAAACAAATTCACGAACATGGATTACGGTTTAGGAACTCATATACAACGGCTCTTCGTATACTCTCTCAATCACCCCCTCAACTTCCTTCCCATTTCCTTCTACTCAGTATGTTACACTTGTGAAACTACTAATACATCCAAACAATACAAAAAAAAAAAAATATATATATATATTAAAAAAAAACCAATGGAGAATAAGAATAATAAGAAAATAAATTCTAAAATTCGTATATTATAAACATTGAGAACTACATCAAAAATTGTCATTGTTCCTATTAGATACTTGTGTTCCTAGCGATTGCTTCAAATTCGCGTTGCTTTCTATAATTCGTAATGTGTTTTGGATGTTATATTTACGAGGGTTTTAGTTACTTTTGTTTTGTTGTTTATATGACTATCTTGCGTAGTTTAATGGCTCGGGCATACCGCGGGCCTGGGACTGCTGCTCCCCTTGAGGGTCGAACAGACCCAATACTGTCTAATAGAATGCAGTTGCATCTTTGCACTACACACGAATAGTTAAAAATATCTATACATATATACATATATATATATGTATATATATATATATATATATATGTTAATGTCGCAAAAGTTGTTCTCAACCCACTAAATTTCGTGACGATCTCGTTATGCAATCGTGCGTTTTCTAAATCGTTGCGAAACCGAAGCGAATGCCAATTTTAAAAATGTATTCGCACCATCCATTTGCTAGTTGAGTAATTTATAGCTGCTTTTTCCTTTTTCCTTTAACCATTTTAGTTTTTTGGTTTTCCATTTGACTATACTTGTACGCTATACATACATAGAGTGATTTTCCTTTCTTGTTTTTATTTTTTTTAATAGTTATATACTGGTTTGGAGCCTTGCAGAGATGCAATAAATTCTACTAAGATTTTCGTCGTTTCCTCATCATTGGCATTAAAAAAAAAATGTTTCGCATAGCCTATAATAGTATGTACAGAAATTTACACTCAGTATCCCATGCCCCCACATCCATCGTCACCCCCACACATATCCCCACCTAAATCCCTCTTCCCATTCCCGTTCCCATGCCCATTATCAATACCAATATCTTGGATCTGCTCGTGCTGCTTCTCCGCCGCTTGCCCCTCGAGTTGCTCCTGACACTAAAGGACTGCGGATCCGCACCACAGAACCTGACCTCAATATGGCCTCCAGACGCTGCCCCCATTGTCAGTTGGGTTGTGGTGACCGCGATGGGCAGCGAGCGCGGCCACCTGACGATTGGTGTTCCCATCCTCAATGTTCCTCACCGACGCACCGCAGTTGCCGATCAGCGTGAGATCACCCGGATGCGCCACACCCCCGCCAGCCATTATATTATGCTGCTGCCGCACACCCACATTGCTGATGTGATCCATCACGCTTTGTAGTTCCCCATGCACCGAGGAGTTGGGCGACGCATGCGCCGGTAATGTGTGCGAGTGGAATCCGTGCGCCGACTGATTTGCAGCGGTATACAGCTGCGAGTAGAGCAGGCTGGCGGGCAGAACCGGATACAGTGATCCATTGCAGCCGGCGGTTGTCGCACCGGCACCACCACCATGACCACCAGCGACGCCGACGCCTACGCCACCGCCATAGGCCGAGGCAGACGCATGCTGGGCCTGATTGACAATGCCCGGAAAGTTCTGATTGGTGCCCAGCATGCCGGGATTGCCAGCGCCCGCGGATGCCACCGATGAGGCAACGCTGCCAGCAACGGCAGCACTGCCACTGCCATTGGCTGCACCACCATTTGTTGCACCGCCGCCACTGCCGCTGCCCAAATTTGGTGTATTAGTTGATAGCAGATCCTCCTGCACCGGCGACTCAGCCTGCGAGCTGTCGCTCAGGCTGCGCGGCCCGTTCTGGCTGGAATGTACATTGTACTCGTTGCTGGCATTGGTGTGATATCGTGGCACCAATATCGAGTTACCACCGCCTCCGCTCCCAGCACCCGCTGCACTTCCAGCGGTTGCCCCGCTGCCGGCGCTCGCTCCATTCACCGTCGATGTGATGGACGTCTGTCCGCTGGCGCCCAACAAGCTATGATGCGACATTTGGCCACTGGTAGATCCAACCAGGCTGCTCAGATGCTGATCCAAGTCACTGGCCGTCGAGTCGGGCAGCACTGTGACAAATCACACAAAAAGACAAATGCAATAATAATATATATATGATCTGCACTTTATAAGACACGTTATCGCATTTAGCTCAGTTGAGAGATAGTCTAAAAACAATCTATAGAATAGGCAAATAAATGCAGTTCAAAATTTAGTATTTTATTAGCCGGATTCCTTAATATTTCGCAATATTTCGTGAGAATTGCAAAATTACCGAAAAAATACCCAAATAATAAGGCACAAATATACAAATCAATTTAATTTCCATTTTGCTATCAGTGTTCAATTTTAATAAATTATACATAAATAAATAAAATTAATATATATAGATATATATATATATATATATAGACATATATATATATATAGACATATATATATATATATATAAAATTAATATATAAGTTAATAACTACGGTCAGAAAAACTTTTTGGTCAAAAACAAAGCTTAACAAAAATGGTTAAAAAATAAATTTAAGAAGGATTTCATTTTTATAGTAGTGAAAACTATTTTCAATTATCGTCTCTCATTCTCATGAAAAACTATCTCTGTCTGATTGTTGAAATTGAAACAGAATTTGTGTAGTACTTACTTGGCACACAGTCGCGATTGGTGGCACCGCCAAAGTCCTGATTGTTGCTCTGATCGTTTGAAGAACAGGTGAAGCCCAACGCCGGATTGTTAAACTGCGCTGAAGTGGGCGTGGTGCACGAGGACAGTCCGCTGCTGGCCAAGTAGGGTGAGTAGGCAGAGGCCGCCGATCCGTAGCCCCAATGCGTATTGCTGGCACCTAAACCAAATTGGGACATATCTTTGTTGTTGGTATCGTTTTGGAATCGATTTTTGTTATTGGTTTGTTTTTATGTTTCATATATGTTTCAGTTAGTTAGTTAGTTGATGTGTGTCAGTGAGATGAGATGAGAGTAAAAAAAACAAAGAGAAGAGCGTGATAAAAACTAGAATATTCAGCAGATGAAATATACGGCATGTGTGCATAACTGAAAGGCGCAAACCAAATAGATAGCGATAGTCACTGTGTGAGTGATCAGAGCAAATTGAATGTAAAAGAAATCAAATGTAACAAACAATTATTTGAAAGCGATTCGAAACGGTTCACAAACTATGCCCCATTTCGTTTCGCAACACTGCGTCAATTATCGTCAATAAGTGGACAATACCCATATCCCTCCCCCTCGCAACACCTTATCTACGGCAACGGCCATGTTACGCGTCTACGGCTGGCAAATTTATGGCACATGTGGGCTACTAATTGGAGCCCCATCATGGCCATTATGCGGGACTTCACCATCGGAGCTGGGCATAAAAATTACAAACAAATCTGATGCGACGAACAGCGACCCAAAAATGCTTTCAATGTAAGCGTAACGCGGGAAGCGGTTGATCCCCCAAAATCACAATGTTAGGCTCAAGTAGGGAGTGGCTGGGGACGGGAGGGTAGAGGAAGAGAGTGGGGGGGGGGGGGTGAGGAGGGCAACGGACCTCGGTTGAAGTACAGACCACCAGTGCGGGTCCTGACTCATGCACAGATAATTAGGCTTAATTAATAGCCCATTCGGAAATTATTAATTAGTTTTTATCGGCGACGGGCGCATTTTCGTATCCGGATATTGATTTTGTGGTGGCTTTATTAATGCTATTGGCTTAAATGTTTCTACCTCCATTAATTACGTTGCTTTTTGTGTACAGTTTGTTGCTGATGCTCGTCGTTCTTGTTGTTGTTGCTTTTGGTGGTGTTTGGACTGTCTGATGTTTGTTGTCACACCGATTGACTTTATCCTGCGCATATTTTGCCACTGAATTATTAACAAGAAGTTGAAAGCTCTAACAGTTGATACACTCGCAAAGTCAATTCGATTGTTGGCATGCGTCCTGTATTTCCACTACAGCTCAACCATCAACAAATATGGTCCAGCCTGCACCCCCGCCCCTTCCCTACAGTGTAACAACTAAAAACATAAACACAAAAATCATATATTTTATAGAAGTCATTTGCAAAGAGTCAGTGCGGTGTCAGAGTCGCTAAACTCATAGTATAATTTCCTAAAGTAAAACAAAAAAATGCGTCCACTGGGATCAGAATATATTTGTAAGTTTTCACAAAACCGAATACTACCAATAATTCTTAAAATCTCACAGATATAAGTGTATTTTTTTCAATGCATCAACCAATATCAGTATAAAACGCTTGGTTTTCCTATTGGGGGAGTATAATTGACGAATGCGATATGAGTATGTAAGTTGATGTAGTATATCGTTTTATTTGAATTTTTATTGCGAAATTAATAAAATATATGCCAGTAATTAAGTCAAGCAGCGACTGTCAATAAAATTTGTTGATTAATAATTCAGGCTATTTTACTTTTTGCATATTTACAATTAAATTATGGGTAATGAGTAACAACAGACGCTTTCAGTAATCATTATTTACATACGCACACCACCAAGTGAATATATATATGAATATATATATATATATAACGATATATACAAGCATTTAGTGTGTGTGTATTCTCTTATACATGTATTATAAATAAAAAGGATATATATTTTGTGTGTATATAAATGAGAAGGAGTCATTGATTGCAATGCCGTCCAGCAAATGTCATCCTGTAAATCGCGCAATTTGCATTTTGATTTGTGCGCTTTACGCTAGACAGTGGGGATGGGTCTGGACAAGGGACCGGGTGGGGGATGTTTGAAGGGGTTTTCCAGTGCTACTGACATTGCGACCAAGTGAAAATTGAGCCATTGTTTGGCCATTTTGTGTGGCGATTGAATTGGATTTGATATTTTTAAAGACCCCGCTGAAATAGTTTTCCTCTCATTTTCCATTACTCTTATAGCTGGGCCTAAAATATTGGCTTACAACTCCGTCCAACAATAATTAGCGCTTAATTTAAAGTCAAATAATTGCTTTTTTTGATGCCTTAACGCATCTTAACTTTGATAAAATATTGTACAAATAAAACAATATTAATTTGAAAAAAATAATCGTAAATTGCTGTCACATTTAACTAACGAATTGTCGCTATTTTTTGAATTTGTTGTAATTCAATTAATTGTCATTTTGAACTGAAATTATCAAATTTAATACAATTGAATTTTTAAATTTATAATTAAATATAATTCAAATACAACGCAGACAAGCAAAAAAAAACTTGCCTACTATTTTATTTATTGATTTGTATTATGCGACAAACGGTCATCACAAGAAATTTGGCATGGTAATACTCAGATAGATGTCATCCATATCATCAATTATAGCAAACTTTACCTAACTGATGGTGCTCAGCTACTCAGCCATTCAGAATTACATAAATGTAGATAATTGAGTTCTCAGTAATACTTGAGATACAGGAAACGTCGAAAGATATACTTATTAGAAACGTTACAAAATAGAATCATCTCACGAACTGCCAACTAGACTAGTTTTCATTTCATATGTGGACATGTTCACAGGTGTGTATGCATATTTGATATATTTATAATTCTGTATTTGGCATCGCTTTTGAAATCATAACACACCAACAATAATGCAAAATGTTGACAGACTCACTTCAATACACATACACATGCAAATGCACACACACACACACACACATAAACAGAGACGGTTACGTGCTCGGACAGATAAATAACACAAGCAATGCACTTTTTTTTTGACGCCAGCTTTTTGTGCTGTTTGTCGACTGTCATTGTTGCTTTTGTTGTTATTATATTTGACCAAGGTTTATTTATTTGTATAGTAAACTTTGGTTAAATAAAGTGGCCAACAATTCAATAGCAGTGCATCAACAACAACTTAGGGCAAGGTAAAGCGAAATGTCAGCCAACAGTTGCAAGTTTTTAATTTGAATGCTCTGCTCCCAAACAGCCAATAAATACTTATGACTTCTTCTGGAAGCCTCGGCCTAGATAATCCCAATCATCGTTCAGCTATCAAGTTAGCTGGTTAACTCGACTACCTTAGATACCCTCGGAGGATAGAGAAGAAAAATCATTTCGAACCGATTTGCGCAATTGCTATATTGAGAACAGGGAATTGTGCGGTCGGGTTGTTGTTGCTTTCTTTTTGGTTTTTACATTACACAAAAAAAATAATAATTTAATTGAGCGCCTAATTAATGTAGTCGCTTTAAGCGTCTGCAAAATGGATGTTAAGATTTATTTTATTATCTATTGTATATACATTTATACACATATATACACACACACACACACTCACATACATGTATATATATATATGTGCATATTTTTTTTTCAATTGAATTTAAATTTTTTACATATTTTTATTGTTGCACTTTTTGTTGGTTTGCGTGGTGGCAGCTTAAAGCAGAACGTTGTTTTTGTGATTGTTTTATTTTATTTTTTTTTAAAGCCTGCCAATCTAATCGTTCTGTGTGATTTTATGTGGTTGCATTGGGGCACACCACACAGCCCGCACGGCCCGCCCACCAACTGTCGGAGGCCCATCCCCAATCCCAATCCCAATCCCCAAAACGAACGATTATTTTTGTTGCATGCGGTTATTGGATATACCGTTACTCAAGTATTAAATGAAAAGCAGAAAAATGCTACAGCAGCAAATGCAAGCTGCATCAATTAATACTAAATATTTATAAGCCTTTGATATATGTATTTGATGGATAGTTGAGTGGATAATAAATGAATGCAGGATAAACGCAATTGTACTGAATGATGCAATAATACATATCTGGGCTAAGGGGTACTTACTCTGACAGTTGCCAATCGGAGGCATGCGGAAGCCGGACAGTGGATCCGTGGAGAAGTGGAACGGTCGCTGGCCAAAGGCGAAGTGAAATTGTTGTTGTTGCCCTAAAAGGGATAACACTAAGTTTTTTTCAGTTTTAATTATCTGTCCTTAACTAAATGGTTTTTTTCAGTTGTTTTTGTGCTTATGTGTGTGTGAAATCTATTGGAAATCTTAAAAGCGTTGAATCAATTTCAGAATGGAGTGTGCAAAATGGCTAACAACGATATTTTGACACTTACTCTCTCTCTCTCTCTTTGTCCTTGTCTCTCGTGCCCCCTTTTTCTTATCTAAGCGTTGTCTCCCATTTTCCAGTCGCCATTTTACGGCAGATTGTATTCATTATAAAATAATAACCTTTTGTCTGACGTTGGCGGCGGCAGCAGCTTAAAAACAACTGCCATTTATGTGCATGCGTCCGTGTATGTGTGTGTGGGTGTGTGTGTGTATGAGTGTGTGTATGAGTGTGTGTATGAGTGTGTGTGTGTACCGCAGAAAACTGGCCCCTCTGTTCGGAGGCGCTGCAGTCTGGCAGCAAAGGATATAAATCATGCCATGGATTGAATTGTTGTTCTCGGACTCCACAGATTACACAGCCAACAACGGCAACAAGGACAACAGCGGCAACAGTAGCAACGATGACTACAACTACAATTCTGGCTACAACTGCTGTTAGTCTGGAACTGAGTCTGAGCTGGGCTGTCTTAACATATGCAAAGTAAAATATTTGCATGCTTATAAATATGCATTTGAAGCTGCTGAACGAGGAGTCGACACTGTTTATTAAATACACTGCTGGGACAAGAGAGAGAGAGAAAGAGACATAGAAATAGAGAGAGAGAGAGAGTGAGAGAGAGAGAGAGAGAAATATGGGGAGTGGCGAATAGAAGGTGCTTAAGTGTGTGTGTACTTTGAGCTTTAATAAAGAGTCATTCATTGTGAAAATTAATATATATTTGATAATATGAAAGCCATTTTCGTGTTTTGATTGGTGTGTGTTAGTGTTTGATGTGTGGGCCATTTGGCTATTGGCCATTGGCTCATGTCTATTGGCCATTAGTCAGAAGCCATTGGCCATTGGGTATTATGCATTATGTATACTTACTTGTCTTGGAGCGCGGCTCGCGTGGCCCATCGACGGTTACTTTGATCGCCTTGTTGTAGGTGGCTATGTGTGGTGGATTCGTTGACACGGTGATGGTTAATGTGAAGCTTTTCCCTGCAATGACGCCAAGCATACAAAAAAACAAAATAAAACAAACGTGAGCTTAACAAATTTATGACTAATAGCTCTCTAAATGTAGTCTAGGCACGCGAGCCACATTTATGGCCTCAAAACATCGGTCGATTGTCACATCGTAAAAATCAAAGCAATTTTTGTTGACTATAACATAATAATGTTGTACTAGTTAATAAGGACAGCTGATTGGCAAAGTGGGCCAATGAGCATGCGACTAGCAACAATATTGTCATTTCGGGTTCAAATAAGAACAAGTTTTAGGAGCGGTTAATGAGAAGGACAGTGTAAGAGATAAAATCTTCAAATGTTGCCGATTCTTCACAATTTTAACGAACGAAATATTTGGCCTAAAATTACCCAACAATAAAGGAAATGATAACTAATCTAGTTTGTCAATATATTAAAAATGTCTTTGAAATGGAATTAGCTTATAATCCATTGTATTAACTTGCCAATTTCAGATCATACTGAACATTATATTTTTTTTTATATGTTACGCATCTCTATTGATGATTGCATTTTAGAGCCACATTTTTCTTGGTAAATTCTTTGATTTAACTCAGATCACTCGAGTCTTTACACCTGTTCTTAGACTTTTTGCCAGACGAATTAGACTTTAATGTATTAATTATGGATCACCTTTGGCAAGTTCTTGAAACACCCGACGCTCTGTCGTCCTTTCCACAATGCAAGAATTAATTACAATTCAAACTCATTGTCTGTAACATACGACTCACACACACATACACGTCGCTAAGAAAATACCCCCAATACTCGAAAGCTAAGATTTATTTCATTTGTGCCACACAGTTTTCTTTTAATTAACTTGTTACGCCTAACCCGCCCATACTTGAGAAGGACTTGCCCCAACCCCAGCATGGCTGAGTTCTTTTTGCCATTGTCAAGTGTTGCCAGGCCCACGACGAATTTGCAGCGATTCAATTAAAAGCATTTCAGCCAAACTCGAAACTCCCAACTCCCCAGCCGTAGACATTGTGCCCTTTTTTGTCTTGCCTGTCTATGACAACGTGGCGTATGTGCAATGTCTTCAAGTGTTGCCATTGCCGTTGCCCGTTGCCGCCGTTTGCTTTTTAAGTTGACAAACAAAGCGTAAATCATTTCGGCACACACAACAATAAACCACCAACTCATACACACCCCACACACACACAAACTCACACACACGCAGACTGAAGCTTACACATGTTGCTGGCACACTCCACTGCGCCTGCTGACAGCGTCGTCCTGATTTTGGTGTACATCTTCGTCTCGTTCTCGTTCTGGTTCTCTCAATCGCATTTTTTCCAGTCCCCCCCCAATTGCTAGTCTAGAGTTCCCAACTCAACGCCGTCTTGGTAAAAAAAATGAACTTCGTCTTGAGTTTGTTTGCAGTCGCTTCAAGTGGCATTTTGTCTTCGTCCTTTAGGCATTCTGCCTCCGTCCATTTGCCCTGTTTGCTGCAAAATGCTTTTCCGCATTAAGCCCTCATTGTAATAAAGTTTAGTTCATTGTTGTGCTATTTTTCGGCTATTCTTTCTCGACTCTGACTTGGAGTTGGCATTTTGAGGGTATTACAACATAATATTATAGCGATTAAGAGAATTACACATTCTAAAAAATAAAAGTGATGACATTGATTCGTCGTTCCATTTATTAGAAGTACATGCTTTAAAGCTACAAATTTAATTGATTGAGCTCAAAAAGTTTTCTGTATTATGTATTTAGATATGTATATTTTTAAGTCGCTATAATGAATCTACACCAATGAATATTTTTAGTGATATCAAGTTTATTTTGACCATCTTTATGTGTAGGAAAAAACCAGCATATCTAAACTGAGTGTACCTATGATTCATTTATCTTATATATTCAGCACTTGCAGTCGCTGAGACCAATTTGAATACCAGAAAAAGGCTTCTATCTCCATAGGCAGCTGTAATCAATTATGGTAAACCTGACCCTCAACAATATCCAATCGCTGGCCAAAACAGTTTTGTTGCCACTGCTGTAAGTCTCATAAATCAACAAGTATCAAGGAAAAAAAGGGAAAACGATGCATTTAAAGAAAACTGGAAGGGAAACCAAATAAGCCACAAAATACGTTTTGTGTTGGCCGACTTACTGGCTGGATTAGAAGGCTCAGAATGCTTTTAAGGGCTTACCTCTGGAAAGGTAAAGTGAAATTTCAAATGTGGCTGCCATGTTTGCAAATGGCTGAAAAAACAAATAGCTGGCTATGCAAAGCGAGTGTAGGTGTGGGTGAATGTGCTAAGGCTGTAAAATATGACAAGCGGTGTAAATATTTGAGTATTTGCGTTGGAAGAGATGAGCCAAAAATGTAATTGCCAATAATCCGCAAATTGTAAATTTTAAGACACGAATCGTTTTTGTGTGCCTAAATTGTATGTGTGTGTTTGTGTGTTCATATATGTAAGTGTGCATAGGAAACGCCTTCTTGTGATTTGTGATCCAGCCACAAACATTGACAGACAGGCAAATACATGTGCGTGTGTGGCCTACTCCACTTTGTCTTACACCATGCCACACTTCACACAGCCCCACACACCACATACACCCCCTCCACACCCTTGCATGACACGTGTAGGTGTTGTATGCCTTTCATTACCCAATTGATTTATTACGCTTGTTCTGCAAATTGCCAAGGATTTGCAACAAGGATTTCAGTTATTTGTCAACAGCTTTGATTTTAATGTTACACACGAAATACTTCTTTCATTCCCAACATTCGAATGAGTTTCGAAGTTATTCATGGAGGCACAGAACAAACAAACTTCAACAAAATTCTATGTGAAATTTTATTCAAATTGGAATATATATTCACGTCAACATCATATAAATCATAAGAGATTGACATATTTAATAGATTAATGATGCTGGCTTATAAATGCATTTGAAATGAAAACGCGTTACAAATATTAACTTCAAACTTGGATAACTATCAACATTCAACGTTAGATGATATTTAGAATACTTTTGAATGCTTTGCAGTATGTTAATATATACGTAGATATTTCAAATGCTTAAGCTGCTAATCCTGTGCTTTATCTCGCTGAGATATTTACAAATGAGTTCATCATAACTGTAAGTGACACAATTTAAGGCCCGCCTGTTGCTTTCTTTTCGAACCCCAAGCCCCAAACTCGAACCCCATACAGTTCACCCACAACAAAACAACGATAAGAACCCTAGAAACCAAAAGCAAATTGTGCGCGCTTACAAAATTCTAGACTCAACGCGTGTCCTTTTCACACAGATTGTGCCACCTCCCCACTCCCCACTCCCCACTCCCACTCCTTCCAACTGGCTCTAGCAGTCAAGGTGTCAGTTCGTAGAAGTTTTTTATTAGGGTATTGTATTAAGCCTTGTTTTTCTTATATATTTGTTGTTGTTGGTGTTGCTGTCTTGCCTTTTTAACGCCTTCTTTTGAAGGCTAGAACGCTGCTGAGGGGGCCTCGACTTTTGGCAGGCATTTGTCTTGCCTTTGGTTTACTCAACAGCAACAGCAACAGCAACAGCAACCCAAAACTCTCACCCGATCCGAAAAAATTTTACGAAACGGACGCCCTTTTTGTCGTTTGTGTTTTTATATATGTTTTATATATATATTTTTCTTTGGGGGGCCAACACCGCCTTTCACTTTCAATTGTTTGCCTTGGCTTGGCTTGATGTGACGGTTGGGAGTTCGGAGTGGGACTTGGGGTGGAGCGCAGTTCATTTTGCGGCTGTCTTAAATGGCTTGAGAGAGTTGTGTAAATAGAAACCTCATCGCAGTGAACCCAAAGCTTAACTTGCCATCCTTATCGATAATTTTGATGCGATGGGATGAATTGCGGTGTGGTGCGGTGCGAAGTGGTGTGTTGTGTTGTGTTGTGTTGTGGTGCGGGGAGTGGTGCGTTGCTTTGTGATATGATGCGATGGAGAAGTTATCGACGTGGCAAACTCTCGTAACAATCGCCAACTGGCACCACCGACTGTACACCTACTCCACTTGCCCTTTGTGTGTTTGTGTGTGTGTGTGTGTGAATGCGTGTGTCTATGCATGTGCATGGCACTTTGCTAATTAAAAGTGTAGCCTAGTGCAGGGCGGCGGGGCCAAATAAATCGATGCCTAGGTAATTAAATTGCATGACGCGAGCACACAATATCCGAAAGGGCAACTGATGGGACTGGAGTTAGGGGGGCTGTGGTTAGGGTTGGGGCGCAGTTTAGAAATAGAAGGCGGAGCTATGCTATCCATTTGCTATTTGAATATTGTAATTTGCAGACGAGAGCAGCAGTTGCTAAAACAAAATGGCAGCAGCGGTCAAGTCAAGCGCAGCGATTAACAGCGAATGCCACACAAATCACTCATACGCAGCGTTACGGAAACCAAAGCAAACCACAAGCGAACCGTTGAAATGAACACAAGCAATTGCAAATCTTTGCGAACCCAACTGAATCTTAGGATGTGGATAGTTTACTTATTGTAAACATACAGTAGCGCTGCGGTTTGATTTCATGTGTGGGTTGCCACGGCAAAGCTGAGCGTCAGCACCAAATCAAACAGGGTCTGTGGGCAAACAACAAAAGGCCCTTTGCTTCTTTTTTTTTATTGCGACTGCCTGCCAAAACGAGACGCGAATATGGTGGTGTTGCAGCAGTAGCTGCATGTTCATGTTGCCCACGGGGAAACATAAGGGGAGAGGCGGATGGAGTGGCTCGTTAGCCCAGCACAGTTGTCGTTGCATCTCGCGGGCTGCCAGACGGCCTAAATGAATGGGAAAATTTACAATTAAACGCCTCAATGCGAATGCGAATGCCAATGGGAGACACAAAAATGAGAAATGAGAAGATGGACGCGTCTATTGGCATGCCCAATGAATGACAATGCATGAATCCTGCGGCACAAGGGACAGTTGGACATTGGTGCGGGTCTCCACTAGGACCGTTGCCCTTGTACCCTTTCTCTCTCTCTCCTTTCTCTCTCTTTCTCTCTGTCACAAATGCCGCAGTTGAAGCTTTGGTTTTTGCGGTTCTACCGCAGCGGATGCGTAAGCCCCAGTCCCTCTCTCCACGCCCCGCTCTCGTCGTCTCCTGTGCCGTCTGTCTGTTTGACAGGGCAAAAACTGAGTTGAGTTGTGTTCGTTTGGTTTCGCTTGATTCAGTCGCCATTTCGTTTGGGTCTCCATCTATAAAGTTCAGTTAAAAATACAGGTATTTAACTGTATTTCCACTACCTTTTTTTATAATTTATAATGCTGAGTCAACAACACTTTAACATACGCCACAGTTCATTTCGCTTGACACTTTATTAAGCTCTTTAAGATGAATCCACTTATTGAGGGATGTGAGGGACAGGACAAGACTGTAGAAGTCGGAGCTCGTCTGCTAATGAACTGCTGACAATTTTGTACAGCCCTTTACAAGCGGTTACAAAAGGATACAAAAAGGATGACGGCGTCAAAAAAAAAAAAACAGTAATAGGATAAAAAAGAAGTTATAAATTGTTGGCAGTGCAAAAAGTGGCCGAATAACACTTGGACAAAAGAGATGGCGTTGAGAAGAGCGCACTCAAAACTTTTGCCACTCAGCGGACGGCAGAGTGGACGGGGGCGATAATTGAACAAATTGTTTCGAGTGCATTTCGGCCACAAAGGAAAGGAAAGAAAAGGGCCATAACAAAACCAACAACCACCGACTGCTGACAATTGACTGCTGACTGCTGAGGAGCACTTGAAAAGTTGTTTGGTCACAAAATGATGGATTTCCAACACAAGGCGAAATGGAGATAGTGATAAAGAGTGTGAGTGAGAGGGAGATATATGTATGTTATGTAGAATTTAAGCCGTTAATAGATTGAGCTGACCACAAAACTCTCAGATGCGAAAAGCAGGTAAGCAAAATACTCTTCAAACTTATTGAAGTGACAATTCTTTAGAGCTCCAAGGTATTTAAATTGAAATTTGCCAAATTATAATCAACAAGTACGAATGCTGTAGTCGAGTGAACTCAACTACTATATTACCTTAGCCAAGGTGTTAAATATATATTCTTGGCTAGACTAGTTCTAGGCTTCGACAGACAGATGCACGGACATGGATACATCGAACCGGTCGCTGATCCTGATCAAGAATATATAAGTGTGATCGGGGTTGGAGTTGTTTCCTTCTGTCGGTTACATATTTTTGCACAAAATCATTATACCTTTTCTAATGCTTGTGAAATTCACTTTGGGATTCTACAAAGTGCGTCACTAAATGCGTTTTTTTTTCGTGGCCGCATTTTTTCATGAGGCTGACATATTGACAAATATTGACGAGATACACTCACCTCTGCCGCTACGTCCCACAAATCGTAAATCATTGAACTTGGCCACCTGGTTCTTCATGACGGCGGTGCAGTTGCGCAACTCGGCGCAGTAGTTCTCATCGTTGCCGGCGCGCACCGTTACCATGGTGCCGTCCATGATGTCACCCAGGGAGACGACCTTGAAGGCCACCGGCAGCGTCTTGTTGGAGCGCCAGTGCGGTGGCAGAACGGTGCAGACGAAGAGGGGGCTGCTGGTTCTTATCAACTCACCGGGATGTTCGGTAAGGAAATCGCCCAAAGTGCGTTCAGCCAAAATGTCTGAAGTCATCTTGGTGTAGGCCTCATTAAGCAGCTGGGCTGGTGTTGGGGGTGTGTTTTGCTCGGTGCTGTTGTTGTTGTTGCTACTCGAGCTGTTGTTGTTGTTGGAGCCATTTGTGTTGCTTGTGTTATTGTTGTTGTTGCTGCTGCTCGAATTATTGTTGTTGGCAGTGTTGTTGCTATTGTTGTTGTTATTATTATTATTGTTGTTATTGTTGTTGTTACTATTGGCATTAGATGCCGTCGAATTAGTGCTTGTGGTTGTCAAATGCATCTTTTCGCTGTTGTTGTTACTGTTGTAGTTAATATTGCTGATGTTGTTGTTGTTGTTGTTGTTGCTGTGTTGCTGCTCTGTGCTATAGTGATTGTTGTACTGTAGCTGTTGATGATGTTGTTGTTCTTGTTGTGGTTGCTGTTGCTGTTGTTGGTGGTGGTGCTGTTGCTGTTGCTGCTGCTGCTGTGTGTGGTGCAAGTGATGTTGCGAATAATGTGGAGTGTGCTGCTGCGGCTCTTGCTCAAACTGCTCCAGATGTCCTTGAGAGTGAGCCTGCACTTTTTTTAGACGCACAATCTTGTCGAATTTATCCAAAACGCTGTTTGATTAACGAAACTCGCTCGCTTCCGTAGCCAGCTAAAAATAAACAGGCACATCAAATAGGATTACGATACGATCTCAGGATTGATTTTATCCAAAGCAAAATTGGAAGAATTAGTTAGTCATTAAGTGTCTGACTCATGCATATAATAATCTATTGTGTCTCTACAAAAGTATTTAAGCTGAAAAGAGCTGTATTGAAGAGTTCGTTGAATGAAAATTAATATATTTATATAAAGTAGGTATCTACGAGTATGTGCCCATATAAGATGCACATGTAACTTAAAGTATCTATCAGAAATGTCATTTCTATTGAATAAATCGCATGTCTTTATTTCAAAATGTAAAATAATTTGCTAACATATATTTTTTGAAGTGCATTTCTTAAATATATTATATTTACAAAAGGAAGCAACAAATCTAGTTATTTTCGTAAAAAGGAAAACAATATAAGTAAGAATGCTATAACTCGATTACCATATTTCACTTTACAAAATTTGGCACACCCAAATGTAAGCAACATGCAAATGCAGAGTATACAAATACTAAATATTAAGCAACTTAGATGCGTATGCCTTTAATATGCTGGCTCTTATTTCTATCAGAAATCTAAATGTATTGATCAAGAAACGGAGGCAGTTAGCGATCAAATGAAGCACACTTGACATGAGCGGGCCATACGAGAACCGGAATTCCTCTAGCAGTTATAATTTCTCAGATCCGCCTGTTCATACAGACAGACTAAACCGTATAACAACTTACAAGTTCTCGATGAGTAAGTGATAAATAATTGATTTTAGACTGTAAAATGAATTGTGCAAACTGCGGGGTATTTGCTGAGATTAAATTGACTTAAATTTCAGCTTGTGTTGGCCACGAAATTTGCAGAGCCATCATGTTAATGTCTTTAAATCACAGCCAAACGGCATTTTACATGGTCATGTTGCATAGTGAGTAGTGAGTAGTGAATGGTGCTTGGTGCTTGGTGCATGGTGCATGGTGCATGGTGCATTGTCCATGCAGGTCCTGGCTTGGACTGGCTGGTCGGAGGACCGAGTGAGCCAAGTGAGCTGCCCGGACAGCACACATAAACACAAATCAATTGTCAACCACTCGACGCTAGGGCAATGGCGTCATCATGAGTATGAAATGGTTAACGTTGAGCGTTGAACGCTCAGCGGAACGCAATTTGCGTTGCACTTTTCAATTTCCTGCAACGCGACAAAGCACATTGGTGCTCGCTGGGCTTGGGGTAATAGGCAGACGGAATGAACGACAGGAACTGGCACAGGACATGTGGCTAGCTGTGGCATGCAACTATCCAAACGCAAATCTAGTCCTCATCCGCGTGGACGACATGCAACGACTGCTCCTTGCTGTAACCAGTGTCAAAATGATTGTGGACTCACGGGTGAGAATTTGTGGTTTGATACTTGCATATTTTGTCACTTGTCGACGCTCGTCGCCCAAACGTCAACCCAGCCACCACTGCCCCACTCACCCACTCCCCCATCCCAACAGCCCAACATTGCAACAACATCCCATCATCAGCATCAGTCAGTGCCGGTATATCCACATTCCGTCTCCAGTACAAGCAGGCACGCACTGAAGCAGCCACCGTGAAACGGGAAAGGGAAAAGGGGAAATGAGGTGCGGGTGTGAGGTGTGGGTAGGATGTATATTCTGACCGCATCCGCTGACCTTGTCGGCGCAGTTGTCATTGTTGTTGTTGTTGGGTCATGTAACAACTTTAAAATTCCTAGCTGCAGATTTTTCTTCTGTGCCAACCTCGCCCCCATCGACGACGCCACAAACAGTTGTCCAGTTGCCTCCCTCACCCCTACCCCGACATTTTTCCCCAATTTACCCCGACTTCAGTTGACCGATAAAAATTACTTAAAAATGCCACAGCTCATGGGTTGACTTTTGGCCAACAAGCACAACAAAATACAAAAAAAAAAGAAAAAAGAAAAAACGCTGACAATTGGGAATGGCAATGACAATGCGTAGGGGAATGGGAATGGATATATGGGTATGATAAAGCGCGAAAGGAAATCGCGGCGAAAATCCAACGGAAGCCAAACGTGTCGGCGCGTGGGCAGCAAAGCACCAAAAAGCAACAAAACAGAAACAGCGGACAACAGCAGGACCAAAAAAAAAAGAAAGAAAGAAACAAAAAAAGACAGCAGAGACGGCACATAATGGACAACGGAGGTTGCGTGTCGCAGCCATTTCGACATCCGACATTCTCCATTCACCACTCTCCATACAGCATTTACCATCCGCCATCCGCCATCCGCCATTTGCCTTTTATTGTAAATTTACTTTATAAAGGTTATTACCAAGCCATACGGAACAGGAGCGACCGGCGGGTAACAGTCGAGCTGGCTCTTGTGGGTTGCTTAATGATCTACCCAATACTGGCCACCCAAATAGCGATAGATTCATGTGTGTGCCGATTGATGTTGCTAAGAATGAAAGGCCTTTCTTCGTTTTCATAGAAGATCTCGGGAAGCGTTTCAAAATCAAATATTTGCAGAATAATTCATTTCGGAAAGTATATTTTTAGCAGAATGAAAATAGCCCAATTGTAATCTAAGCAAATCACTGACAAATGGACACATTATTATCCATAAATACCAACTCATTGGTCGTCTTATATTTCTTCTCTTGGTAGTAGCGTGTTGCAGCAGTTGGACAAGCCGCACTTTATTGAATTGTGGACAAAAGAAAAGGCAAAATGTTGGCCAGCTTAAACTCTGCAGGAGAAGCGCGCCATAATCCGCGCTTACCATCATGGCACCATCAAGGAAATTTCTTCTTTTTTTTGGCCAGTGCTGGGTCACGCGTGGTTTGTCACCTTGTTGTTGTTGCTATTGTTGCTATTTTGTTGCTGTTCGTTTTTCATTTTTTGTGCGACTGGCAAAATTTGTTGTTCTTGTTCAAAGGCAACTTGCTGGCTTGGGGCTAAATCAAAATTCATGGTTTTGTTAGAGGCGATGGCGATGGCGTCGCTGCTCAATCCCGCATTGGTATCAATAGCCGGCCAACACACACTCACACACATACACTTGGACGTGAGCAGACGGTTTACATGCAAGCTTAACCCTTTGATGGCCCCACACACATGTACAACATGTAAATTGTTTCAATTTGCGGCATTTGCCGTAAAGCTGCGCAATTTTCAACATGCCATGGATACGCTGCGACTATGTGTGTGTGTGCGTGTGTGAGAGAGTTTGTGTGTTGTTAGGTCATTCTTCTTCTCTTTTTTTTGTTGCTCATAGTTGGCATGACCATGTACGTGTCCAGCTGTTGTGCTCCCACAAAGCACTCGAACCCAATACGCACCCGAACCCAAAAATACTAAACTTGTTAAATGTTATAGCTACATATATGTACATTTATGTATATATACATATACATATATATTCATGTCTGTGTGTGTCGAGTAGGTGTCGTCGATGTCTCATCTAAAACAGCTACTGATGCGGTGGCTGCTGCTACTTTGATGTAGTTAAATTTTAATTGGACTTTGGGTTTTTATTCCCCGTCTGTGGTATTTCATGAATGCGTGTGTGTCCAGCTGTGTGTGTGTGTGTGTGTGTGTGAGCAAGTGTGTGCTAGCAGTTATATTATTTAAATTTTAACATTTTATGTTAACGCATTCTAGGCAGAAAACGACGAAACTTGCCCAAAATTCTTTAACAATTGCTAATTTCGAAAGGGTCAAGAAAATAGCTTAGCTTGAAATTGAGAACTCCGATAAATTTCAGTTTCAAAGTTACGCAAGCATAAATTGTGGAAACTTCAACTATAAATTTTGAAGATAATATGTGAAAATGTTTTGCTAGCAGCAAACTATTTCTTATTAATATTAATGAATTTTCATACCGAGCATATACCACACACTAGAAACATTATGTTATTAATATACATACTCGTAGTGTTATTTATGGAATTTTTCTTATAAAATATCCCACAGCAGTAAGCATATTTTGAGCTCGCTTTTAATGAAAGTAGTATGTGTGTTTTTATTGCACTTACAATTTCTTATACGTGTTTGAATTGATAGCCTGAAAATGTTGTGCTCTTTGCTTTAGCATTAGCATGATCTTAACTTGCATCCATGTTGGAACATCAGGCAATCTGTATATGTTGACTTCTGTTTACGGCCTCTAAATTAACAACATTTGCTACTAACTAACAGCAAATTAAGCCATACATTGTTTATAAACGCTCAAGAGTCTTCCGTGCTCAACGAGGCGGGATGAGGCAGGTCGAAGGAGGCTGTCTGCTGACTGGAGAGCATTGGATTCACTTTAATGCCTAAATCAACTAACTTTGCGGGCGGCAAACTTATTTCCGGCATGCCGAGAACACTTCCCAGGCTGCAACACATACAATCCAATAGCACACACGCACAGGCACACATAACCACACACGCAGACACAAGGACTGTGCAGAAATCAACAGCCAAAGAGAAGACACCAAATTCAACCATAAATTGATACAGTAACACGCCTCTCAGTCACGCCCCTGGTCCTGTCCCTGTGCATGTCGCCGTTCTAAAATGCAGCAAAACCGAATTGCTGCATTTGAGGACGATGCAGTGCAATGCAATCCTTCCGGCTGCCCCCTTTGTTGACCGGCAGCCTGCCTGCCTGGCTGGCCAAAAACTAGCAACCAACAATCCCAAGTTTTCGGTCAACTTTGGGCCAAAACAATGCTCCCGGGCAAAGCAGCAGGCGCCAACCACCAGTCACCAGCCAACAGCCACCAGCCACCAGATCGAGGACTAAGGGA